GGGGAGAAGGCAGGAGATTGGGGCTGAGAAACATATCAGCCATGATCAAATGGCAGAGTAGACTTGTTGGGCCGAATGACCTACTTCTGCTCCTATACCTTATGGTCTTATGATTTCTTTTGGTTAAGAACAAAGGGTCAGGAGTCAGCTATTCCACAAAAATTTGTTCTGCTATTCAGATATAGAATTACTGACTTGTTTCTTAACCTCATTTACTCACCTCATCTGATGTGATACAATTTCAGAAATGTCCCAATTGTTCTTTAAAGCATTTCCAGTTGATTGCAAAATTCCAATTTATTCTAACTTTTCTGGCAAGCATACATCTTGAATAATAATAGATTTAGAGGACTTTGAAATATGTTAATATTTTTCACTTTGACTTTTAAATGGCTTTTTGGCTGATAGTCAATCAAAGCAGAAGATGACCGAACAAAGCAATACTCAAGCAATTCACAACATATTTAAAATACTTCACTGAAAAGCTCAAAGCTGTAGGAAGCTGGCATTGGACTTTCTTTCTCCTTTTGCATCTCTTTTTCTAACACATTTGGTTCAGGGATGTTCTGATGAAGAGTCACTAGAGTTGAAGCGGTAACTCTGTTTTCTGCCCACCAATGCTACCAGACCTGCTGAGTTTCTCCAGCAATTTCTGTATTTGATTCAGGGGTGTGTTACTTTTTTCTGCACTGTTGGAATTCTGTGATTCTATCCAGCCAACTGAGCCCTCGTAATAAGTTGATACTAATTGAAATCGTGGTTTTGCGTTGGGGGTATATGCTTTATAATGTCTTACACTGAATACATATAGAATGATATTAAGATTGGCTGCAGTTCTATTTTTTCTTCAACTGGTTTTCTAGTTTAAAACATGGCAGCAGAGATTGTTGCCAAAAGGTGAAGATTAGAAGCTAAAAATAATCTAATCAGAAAATTGCAATCTAGTAGCCACTGAAGAAAAAGGCGAATGCAAGTGTAAATTAGGGGAGGTGATGGCCTAGTGGTATTATCACTGGACTGTTAATCCAGAGACCCAGATAATGTTCTGGGGACCCAGGTTCGAAATCCCACCCACAGCAGGTGGTGGAATTTGAATTCAATAAATATCTGGAATTAAGAATCTAATGATGACCGTGAATCCAATGCCGATCATTGGAAAAGCCCATCTGGTTCACTAATGTCCTTTAGGGAAAGAAATCTGCCATCCTTACCTGGTCTGGCCAAAATGTGACTCCAGACCCACAGCAAAGTAGTTGACTCTGAACTGCCCTCTGGGCAATTAGGGATGGGCAATAAATGCTGGCCTGGCCAGCGACGCCCTCATCCTGTGAATGAATAAAGGAAAAAAAAATGGTGAACAATCTCTCCTTTGATTTCACCCACTTCCTCCAAATAAAAGGATTTGGATACTTGCATGGTTTCTGGCTATGCCAGCATTTTTATGGGCTCTGTAGAACACTCTATATTCCAAACCTGCTTCGACTCACTCCCTCAATTCTTTTTCAGGTACATTGATGACTGAGTCAAATCTGCTTCCTGCTGTCACCATGAACTGGATTTTTTTTATTAACTCTGTTTCCAATTTCCATCCTTCCATCACCTTCACCTGGTTCACTTTGTATTCCTCCCTTCCTCTCGTAAATTTCCATTTTGGGAGACATATCATCAATGAATATTCTCTACATGTCCACAAACTCCCACAGGTACTTTATACTTCCTCACACCATGCTACCTGTCATGATTTCATTCTGTTTTTGTAGTTTCTCTGCCTCTGTTGTATTTGTTCAGACGATGCAAAATCTCCACACCAGTGCGCTCATTCCATTCTTCCTCAACCCAGCATGGTTGTCAGGACTCTCCAATATAGATCATATTTCCTGCACTCTGCTCTCATCCTTCCACCCTTCTCAGAACCAGGATAAGATAAACCTTGTCCTCATCTTCCACCCTAGCAGTCTCTGCATTCAACAGATCATCCTCCATAATTTTCATCAAACCCAACCAGATGCAACCACCACACACACCTTCCCTCCCCTTTCAGCATTCCAAGAGGATCATTACCTCCATGACATCCTGGTCAACAGCTCAGTCACCCCAACACCTCCCTCTGCCTCCTTTCCAAACAAGCACAAGGAATGGTCTACTAAATGTTATGTCTCATGGACAGACTTTGGTAGATTTTTGTCAGAAAACGGTCATTCCCTGGAGGAATATATTGTGGACTTCCACAGATTGTATAATACATTGATATCCAATTCAATTTTGAGACCTCTGAATCAGTATACGTGTTTACGTTCCTGGTTGTGCTAAGGTATATCATCCGGGCACATTCTTGGTTCTAACTGGTATTTGGCTCTTGGAGAGGGACAACCCTGTTGAATCAGATTCTGCTACCTTGAAACTGTTTCTGAAGAAACACTCATTTTCTTCTGTCTTCATAGTACAAATGTGATCATCTTTATTGACACAAATTTTTTGCAGCTTGGTGGCTCAGTGGTTAGCACTGCAGCCTCATAGTGCCAGGAACCAAGGTTCAATCCCAACCTCAGGTGACTGTCTGTGTGGAGTTTACGTATTCTCCCCACCTCTGTGTGGGTTTCCTCCCACAGTCCAAAGATGTGCGAGTTAGGTAGATTGGCCATGCTAAATTGCCCCTAGTGTCTGGGAATGTGCAGGCTAGGTGGATTAGCCATTTGTAATGCAGGGTTATAGGGTAAAGGGGTGGGTCTGGGTCAGACGGTTGGTGTGGACTTGAGGGGCCAAAGAACCTGTGCTCACACTGTAGAGATTCTATGAAAGAATAGAGAATTCAAATAGGCCAGGTTTTGAGATGATACCAGAAACAAGCTTCAATACAATGGAAGGTTAAACACAGGCAAATTGAAGGTTACAATAGCTTCAATGGATCTGCCTAGGAAAGCAGATGATACAACTGGAACAGCTGAAATAGATGAATGAATCACAGGGATGCTCATGGAACTGTTCATAGGTGTTTCAGGTGTGGCTCAAAATATCATTATGCCATGAAGAGGGGAAACTGGGGGCTCAAAATATCTCAAATCCTGAGGAAAGGAATGAAGGTAATGATGAATCCAAACAAATTATACTCGTCACAAAAAGATTTAGTTTTCTGATGAATGCATTAGTCACACTACAGTGCAGCACTAAATAATGCTTACATTTTGCAGGATGTGGATCAGATTGGTTAAAAGATTGCTTTGATTCACTAATCGATGTAAGGTTACACAATACGTTAAGTACTACTTACTTTAGGTTTGGGATGATCACTCACTGAGGTTATTAAAGGTTATCGAAGTACTTCCACGTATATTAGCAGAAGTAAGCCATTTTACAATTACTCAGAATCTTGAGTGAGATACCTTTGCTGTTAAGTAAACTTTGTATGAAAAATTAATAAATGAACTTAACATAGAACATAATAAGACAACTATTTTTACAAATTCAGTGGATCTGCAGTTTACGGAGTTGTACATTACTGTGCACCCTCAACAAAACCTAATGTTTCTCACCAGACTGTTAGAAGGTATTAATGATATTATTGTGTCCTATTAGTGATGGTCATTGCCTGGAACATTTTGTGGTGTGAATGTTACTTGCTGCTTCTCAGGTCAAGCCTGGATATTGTCTGGATCTTGTTGCATTTGAACATGGGCTGTTTTTGAGTGTCTGAGGAGATGTGAATAGTGCTGAACATTGTGCAATCATTGGCAAATTTCTGGTATTATGACGGACGGACTGTCATTGATGAAGCAAGTAAGATGGTTGGGCCTTGGACACTACCCTGAGGAACTCCTGCAGAGACGTCCTGGAGCTGAGTTAATTGACCTCCAGCATCCACGACCATCTTTCTACGTGCTGGATATGACTCCAATCAGCGGGGAGTTTGCCCACTGATACCCATTGATTCCAGTTTTGCCAGGGCTCCTTGATATCTCACACAGTCGAATGCAGCCTTGATGTCAAGGGCTGTCACTCTCACCTCACCTCTGGAATTCAGCTCTTTTGTCCATGTTTGAACCAAGGCTGTAATGAGGTCAGGAACTGAATGGCTCTGTTGGAACCTAAATTATCTGTACTGATTATTTGTGTCAGAGACTATGTTAATATATAGGTGTATTTGTGTGTAAGGAACATGAATGTGTACTCGTGTAGGAATGTGTGCATGTGAGAGTGAATGACTGTACATAACTGCATAAATGCACCGATATGTGAACAAATGTCATGTATGAACAAGTGAATAGCTTAATACATATGAGAGTGTGTTTACACGTACGTTTGTGTTATAACTAAACAAATTCACCAAAAATGGATCAATGCAAGCATGAGTGAGTTTAATATGCATGAGTTTTGCATTAATTTTCTGAAGAAGGGTCCAGACCCGAAACGTTAGCTTTCCTGCTCTTCTGATGCCGCTGGGCCTGCTGTGTTCATCCAGCTCCACACCTTGTTATCTCTGAATATGCATGAGAATGTGTTTACAAATGTGTGCGTGTACAAATAAGAAAGATTACAAGAGTGTTGAACTGTGTATGAGAGAATGTGTATTTGAGTATACATGGGAGTCTGTATATGTGAGGGATTGTGCATTTGACAGTGTGTGTGAATGTGTACATGTGCGTATATGTACGTTTACACAGTTGAGTGAGTGCTTTTGTGAATGTGTACTTGTATGTGAATGAATCTGTATGTATTTTTATATTTGTGTGTTTGTGTGTGTATTTGTGTGCAGATATGTGTGTGCATTTGCGAGCGTGTTTGTATTTGTGTGTGTATATGCATGAGTGTATGTGTGTGTGTGATTGTGAGGGTGTATTTGTATAGGATTGACTGTGTGTTTGTGATTGAGCGTGTGAATATGTGAGTGAGGGTGTATTTGTGTGTGTAAGTACTGAGTGCTAGTGAACCCAGTAGAGCCCAGCTTGGTGAAAGGTAGGCGTGGAATGTATCAAGAACAGTCTGCAGCGGGGGATTGGCTCCCGGTCTCGCACGTGGTTTCACAGCTGATTTCCTGTGGCAATGTTTATGTCAGTTTCCCGAAGCGATCGGTGAATATGAAACCCTAACGGAAAGGGCAGAAGACGGGCTCCGAGCTGAGATGGCCGAGTCCAACGCGATCCCGGTGCAAGACGAGAACAACTGCCCCATTAAAGTGGACCACGATCGCAAAAAGCGACAGTTCGAGGTCCGGTTGAACGGTAAGCTGCAGAGATCGTCTCTCTCTCTCTCTCTCTCACACACACACACACACACACACCTTTGTTTTCAACCAGAGGGAGACTATACTCCTTAAAAGGGCAAATGCCTTCTCTGGCAAACATCCTCCTTTCCACCTCATTCCGCAAACCAACAAACAATATCCAGCGGTGGAAACTTGAGGATTTAAAAAAAAATACAATGTTCTACACCTTGTTTTTAACTAAGCTGTTTATAACCCCAAATGGGCCGAAAGGTTAACCCTTTATGGGCTCCCTCCCTGCTGTTTCCGACGGCTGCTCTCTCACCCCCCCTCCCACATAACACCAACTCCATTTAATTATGTTTCCCACAGAGACACCAGAAGGGGGTTAACTGTGTTCCCAATTTTCTCCCAAAAATCCGGTGTAAAGACCTGACCCGTACACCGTGCCTTTTAAGTAGACTTCCTTCTTGGCTTGGGTGAACGGCGTTGTCAAGTTATAGGAAGTTGAAGCCAGAGGCCCTGCTGAAGAGCCTGGCTGTGAGCCGAGAATGTGCTCTCCCTGTCGAGGTCGGAGAGTTTGAGGGCTTGGTTCGGAGAAAAGAAGCTCAAGTGGGTGCGCTGGCCTCATTCCCCAAGGAAGATGCCTGCCCTCCAGAAGCTAGGGGCCATTTGGAAGGAGTGACTGTAGAGGCTGGGCGAACATCCAAGTAACTCTCCTTTAAAGGTCTCAGTGGATGATCCTCAGGTACAGGGGCCCTGGACGCTTCTGCATCTCCTCTGTCCAAACTCCTGCAGTCGCTGTTGAGACCAGTCCCAGCAGCTCGTCCAACAACTTCCATTCATCACTGCCGCCTAAGATCATAAAATGCTCTCAAGCTGCTTTTGTAGAAGGGCAACGAAGCAACAATTGATACTGCGCCAGCGAAGACAGTCTTTATACTCCATCAAGTAATATTGGTGTTGCTGGGAGTGCCAAATTTTGTTGCTCATTGCCCCTGTGAAAGTGACTAAAAGCTTAATTTATTGTGGAGCGTCTTAAAGGAGGGGAGAGAGGCAGAGAGCTTTAGGGAGGCAATTTGGATTTTGTGAAGGAGATCACTGAAAGCAAGGCCATCCTCAGAAGGGCAAAGAAGTTGGTGGAATGCACCAGATTGCAAGGAATGCCGAGTCATTGTAACCTTGTAGGGTTGGAGGAGGTGACAGACGCAGGGAGGGCTGATGCTCTGGAGACTCTTGAACTCAAGGAATGGAATTTTAAATTTGAGGTTTCGGTGAACTGGGTTCCAGTGCAGATGAAAAAGCTCAGGGATGATGGATGGACTGGTTTTGGGCCAGTGCTGGGACAGGCAGCAGAATTTTGGATCCACTCCAAGTTTCCGGAGGGCAGAGGACACTAGCAAAGTGTTGGAATTGCTGAGTCTGGAAGTCATGGATTAGGGTTTCAGTGGATGATGGACTGAGGCAGCCAGGGAGATGGGTGATGTTACAGGGGCTGGGCTCTGTGAAAGAGAGAATATGGAACTCGGCTAAAATAGGATGCCAGGATTGGTATGAGTCTGGTTCAGACCAGGATGGACATTTAAGGAACAGTGCCAGCCATAGGTGTTGTACCGAGGACACTTCTGTTTTAAATGACTCCAAATCACAAATTGAAGTCATTTTACTTGATGATATTTCATGATATTCTGAGAGGCAGTGATATCATAGAATTCCTACAGTGTGGAAGCAGGTCATTCGGCCCGTTGCATCACCGAATTACTTGATGACTCATTCGAGTCAAAACCAACCCGCCAAAGAGCATCCCACCCAAACCTATCCCCCTACCTTATCCCTGTAACCCTGCATTTCCCATGGCTAATCCACCTAAGCTGCACATCCCTGCTCACTATGGGCAATTTAGCATGACCAATCCACCCTGCACATCTTTGGACTGTGGGAAGAAACTGGAGGAAACCCACAGAGAAACGGGGAGAATGTGCAAACTCCACACAGACACTCACCCAAGGCTGGAATTGAACCTGGGTCCCTGGCGCTGTGAGACACCGTGCTGCCATGTCTCAATGCAAATTATTTCTTTTAAAATGCGATGAGCACCACATTTGACTGACGTGCCAAGAGATCCTCATTGGGATGCACATGAATAAAGATTACTGGTTGCAGGTTCTTGGGGTGAGGATTCAAAGAGGAAACTCTGTGGTTTGCAACTGGTGTGGAATTCATATCCATAATCCTCAACAATCTCCATCCTGCCAACAGATAATATCCAGAGGTGCATTGCTACAGAGAGGTAAAGCTGAAGCCATCAAGATGACATCTATTCAGAGTTGTGAATTTCTTCCTTGGGTCTTCATGTGACTGAACAGGCTGTTTCTCGACCTGTAGGTCTATGGACACAAGGGGCAGGATGTCCAAATGAAGGAGGATGATCAGGAGCACAGGATTCACTTTTGTTCCTTTCCTTCTCTGCCACTGCTCTCCTTATCATTGAAGCATTTGAACTCAAAGCATGGCGCTGCTTGATGGGCAAGTTGTTGCCATTGTGAATGATTGGTAACAAGCACCTCTTTTCATTGATATCAACACCGTCGCACTTCAAGGAGAGTTTCACAGTGTCATTGTAGTATTTTCTTTGAACTATCCTGGCACACTGGACATTTGGGAGTAGAGAAAACAGAACCTGGGCAGGGGGGTTGGTGAGGGAGGGCTTGCAACCATTCAAACAGTATCCAGTCTGTTCAAATGGATTTTGCAGGCAATTGCCTGAATGCTTGTGGAGCTGGCTTCAAGAAGAACATTGCTTTGACTCTGGAGGCTGGGGCCAAGACATTGCTGGCAAAATTTCTCGTGTTCTTTTGTGCAGTTGAGCCCAAGTCTTACTGCAGTACAGAGGATGGTGACGACAACTGCTCTGCACTTCAATTGACCCTGACCTCTCTATTAACTTGCAGTGTCTTCAAAGTCAAACCCCTAGCTTGTAGAAGACTACAGTGGTGCAACTGATCTAGTGTTACATTTCCTCCCAGGAGAGGAGGCTGCCAAGATGTAGGATGTGTTCAATATATCTCAGAGTATCACCATCAAGACATATAGGAGTTGGAATATTTGGCTCATCAGGTGTATGTTCCTATGAGTTTTGTTTGCACAACATTAAGGACAGTCAAATCTGTTGTACTCAGAATTAAACCGATCAAGGGTCAATTCCATATCAGTGGAGGAGTGGGACGAGTAAATTGCAGACACCAAATCCCAACCAGCTTGCAAAGATTAATTTGCTCTCAGACCACAATAAGTATCTGGTTTCCAACCCTCCACAATTAGCCTATAATCTCCAGGACACTGTTACAAATTAGCCCTTGTCTGGGGAAAAGAGATTATTTTTAAAATTACTTTTCATTTTTTTACATATACTTCTGTGTGTTAGGTATAGAGGTGTTGCTGATATTGCACTGATGGTCAAGAATCATTCAATTAGTAATAAAGACTCTATTCACTTCTCAACTTGCTGTGGGAAGGTGGGGCACTGCAAGGATGGACATGTTGTGTAGCCAATGGTGGGATCATAGGGGTTGGAGACAGGAAGTCATGTGATGAAACTTCCTGGAATACATTCAACCTGAGTTGGCAACACTGGTTAACTAACTCAGCACTTTAACAGAACTGAATTTTCTTTCATGACTCTCTGATATCCAAATGTTGCAGAAAATCCTTGCCAAATCTTGCCTTGCACACATGGCCCATGGCCATTTAATGCTTTTCACTGTCTCCTCTAAGGCATTGTGTGGAAAATTGATCATGTCTCAACTAAAGATCACTTCTTTGGATCAGTTTGGAATACATGTTTATTTGAAATTTCAGAGGCAGTCAAAATGGTCTGATCAATGTTAATTATGGCAAGTACCAAACTGTAAAATCAGGAGACATGAAATCCTCTGTCAGCAGTGAGGAAGACTGGACCAGTGAGAGATTTTATCTTCAGAAATCTGAACTGAAGCAATTTCTGAGTCAGAAGTTCATAGGTTCAACTCCCAAAGCAAGATTTAAGGACATGATCCAGTCTAATGCTGCAAGGACTGAGGAACTGTTACATTATTGGAGGTGTTGTCTTTTGGATCGTACATTAAACTGAGTCTGGCCTCTCAGGTAGACATAAATGATCCAGTGCTACTATTTTGGAAAAAAAAGCAGGTTCGGTTGAACACGCCATTAATTTATTGCCCAACCACAACATTAAAAACACATTATCTGGTTATTCATTTAACTTATTGCTATTTGTGGGACCTTACTGTGTGTAAATGACAGTGAGTGCACTTCTCAAAGTGCTTTACTGTCAATGAAATACTTTTTGATGCCATTCCAGGCAGTGTATAAATATAATCCTTTAATTCTTTGGGAGCCAAAATCCACAACACAAAAAATAATAGCAACAGTGTTGAAAGCAATAGGTGAATAGAAATGAATAAACTGGCGGGTGGTGTATGCCTGTAAATATAATTTACAGAGTAAGGGAGGTCAGGAATTCCTCTGTTTTGTCACTTTGGGTAGTTTACAATGATGCTGTTAACAATGGGCAGAATCTTTGCTCCCAGAGGTTGTGAGTTTGGAAGAGGGAAGAGCAATTAATTAGATAGCATTCCCAAAGCCCTTTGCTTTTTCACCTTCACCAGGATCTGGGTGAGATTTTGTCACTGAGAATGGTCTAGTAATCAATCAGTTATTAGGGATTGACTAACTCTATATGTTAGTTTATCTAAAGCAGTAAAATACACGACAAGTAGACATTACAGCAAACCACCTGATTTCTGTGAATGCAGCTTGCACATCCGCAACTGCTAGGCACAGTCATAACTTTGTATACACACAGCACATGGAGTCCTCCTCCTTTGGGCAGCAGAGTGGTAGTGTTACTAGAAAATCAATGTTCTGGGGCCATCAGTTCAAATCCCACCAAGACAGATAGTGAGATTTGAATGCATTAAAAAAAATGGAATTAAAAGCTAATCTAACTGTGACCATGTA